CTTTCACCTTCTCATTTGTTTGATTCATCATTTTCAAAGTCTAGCTTATCTGATTTTGTTGAGTGGTGATACACTGGGTCATTGATATCATCTGCTCTTTGAGATTATTCATTTGGTCCAGCAGGTGGCACATGGAGTCTGCCAATGTCTTTGCCGGCTCATTGACTCCTTCTGGTTTTGGGCTCTCAGTTACTTTCGATTTCAGATGTTTCTCTTTCTCCGTCCTCTTTCCCGCCATCTTTTTCGCTTTGTTTACTTTCGCAAACTTTTTGAAAGTCTCTGAATATGCGCTTAAACTCTTGCACTCGCCTTGGTAAGTACTCCTTAGCAGTTTTAATCGTTTATACTTCCGCTCCCCCCTCAATTGCTCTAAAGTCTATGCGCTTGGGAGGCGTCCCTCCCCCGCTCGCCTTATCTTCTGTTCCGTGGGGTGGGCGTGGGGAGCTTCTTTTCTTTTTAATTAATGCTTAAATCTCACGTTCATAATCGGTCTGCAGACCTCGTTTACACTTCATTTCTAACGCTCAATCTCCTGCGCTTGCCCCGGTCAGCATCACTTAGTCCATTCGGTCTCTCAGCACGAAGAACCGTCAGAGTGGAGAGGTGCCTCAATTCTCTGGCTTTTCGCTGTCGAAGAGGCAACCTCTCAAGAGCTCCATGGCCAGGGTCCCTTCAACCGGGTCCCTGGGGGGGGGGGAAGTGAGCATGCACACACCCTCCTTCGGCTGGAGCGCAGCTTCACCCCCGGGAGGTCCGGGAGGTGAGTCTGCTAGCGTGCTGCCATCAACCAGAAGTCCTCAGTATATACCTCTTTCTTAATTCACACACACACACCGGAAATCATTGCAGGACAAAGGTTTTAAATAAGTATATGATGAGAGAGCTTCATCAGTGACTGATAATATAGGTTTCTTGTAGGATGCAACCTCATGTTCAGCATGTCCTTAATTTTTTTAATTAAAAGGCAATTTGAAGTGGAGCACAAAAATATGGTATTAAATTATTTGTTTATTAAAATAGCTATATCCTTCTTTTTGGTACAAAGTCTTATGACAAACAACAAGCAGATAATAGGCATCAGTAAAAACTTCCCTCCTCTCTGCCTTTGTGTCAGTTCTGACCAGAAGCCTGGAAGTGTGGCCTCATGAAGGCCCGTTTTAAACCTGTGCTGTGCTTGACTGAAGGTACCTTCCCTGGCTGTCCTCAGGTTCACAGTGGAATCTGTGGAGGAATGGGTTCATACAGCCTTGTAATTCTATATGCCCTTTGTGGAAGGTATTATGTGTCAGAATGCTATTGTGTCCTTTAGTTGGGGTTATTTGGACCTCTTCAGCTTCTGTAGTTTTGAAGAGTGGCTGAGGTGGGCGGAGTTTCCCTTTCATGTTGTTAGCCATGTCTGTGAAAGACCTTTCTCTGCCTGACACCTTAGAGAGCTGCTTGCCAGTCTGAGTGGACAGTACTGACCTTGATGGACCAATGGTCTGATCAACTATAAGGCAGATTTGAAGTGCTCTGTTGCATTCCCTCCCTCCCTCCCTCCCCCCGGGACAGGAAAAATTATGTTATTTCAAATGATTCTTGTGTCTTCAGTGCAGCACCTGAAGAGAAGCCTATGATAGGCCCAGTTTTGGCGACTCATAATCAGGGGTCGTTTCGTAGAAAAAGAGCTAGGGGAACTCATTAGCATAACTCATTAGCATATGCCACACCCCCTGACATCAGGGGCCCGGCGGTGGACCTGCAAGGCCAGCGGGAGTGCGAGGAAGCCCCGCCAAGGCCCTCCCTGGCTCCAGGCAGGCAGGGGTGGGGAGAGGCAGGGAGGAAGCAACTTACCCTCCCTCTTCTCCTTCCTCCTCCTGGCTGAATGAGGGCTGGAAGCGGGGCGGCCGGAAGCGGTGGGCGGGGCTTCGTCATGTGCCCCGCCCCCCGCACCTCACCCGGGGGAACTGCGTTCCTCCGCGATCCCCCCTGAAATGACCTCTGCTCATAATACTTGTCTTTTGCTGGGTGGTCTTGTGTCTTGACTGCTCTACTGTTCCTGCAGACAGTACCCGTCTTGTTGAAGAGGGACGCTTCCAATGGTAAAATTCCAATATTCCCTTTCACAGGGTTTATACTGAACTGCCTCTCAATGTGTGCAGAGATTAGTGTGGCCTGTGTGAGGCTCCTGTGTTTCCCCTGCTACTGTGACAGGTCTTTATTGACCCTTTTCAAAGCAACCTGCCTGGATCCCCCCCCCCCTCATTTTACTATGATTGTCAGCTCAACATAAGAACATAAGAACATAAGAGATGCCAATGTTGGATCAGGCCAAAGGCCCATCCAGTCCAACACTCTGTATCCCACAGTGGCCAGAAATACCAGTGCCATCAGGAGGTCCACCAGTGGGGCCAGGACATTAGAAGCCCTCCCACTGTTGACCCCCCCCAAGCACCAAGATGACAGAGCATCACTTGCCCCAGAGTCCCTATCTATACCTTGTGGCTAATAGCCACTGATGGACCTCTGCTCCATATGCTTATCTAATTCCCTTTTGAAGCCGTCCATGCTTGTAGCTGCCACCACTTCCTGTGGCAGTGAATTCCAAGTGTTAATCACTCTTTGGGTGAAGAAGTACTTCCTTTTATCCGTTCTAACCCGACCGCTCAGCAATTTCATGGAGTGCCCACGGGTTCTTGTATTGTGAGAAAGGGAGAAAAGTACCTCTTTCTCTACCTGCTCTTTCCCATGCATAATCTTATAAACCTCAATCATGTCACCCCTCAGTCGTCGTTTCTCCAAGCTAAAGAGCCCTAAGCGCCTTAACCGTTCCTCATAGGGAAAGTGTTCCAACCCTTTTATCATTCGAGTTGCTCTTTTCTGCACTTTTTCCAAAGCTATAATATCCTTTTTAAGGTGTGGTGACCAGAATTGCACACAGTATTCCAGATGAGGTCGCACCATTGATTTATATAGCGGCATTATGATATTGGCTGATCTGTTTACAATACCCTTCCTAATAATCCCCAGCATAGCATTGGCCTTCTTTATTGCAGTCACACACTGTCTCGACATTTTCAGTGAGTTATCTACTACAACTCCAAGATCTCTCTCTTGATCTGTCTCTGCCAGTTCAGACCCCATCAACGTGTATTTATAGTTAGGATTTTTGGCTCCAATGTGCATCACCTTGCACTTGGCCACATTGAACCCCATTTGCCATGTTGACGCCCACTCGCCCATCTTTGACAGATCCCTTTGGAGTGCCTCACAATCCTCACTGGTTTTCACCACCCTGAACAACTTCGTATCATCCGCAAATTTAGCCACTTCACTGCTTACTCCCAACTCCAAATCATTAATGAACAAGTTAAAAAGCAGTGGACCAAGTACTGATCCCTGTGGTACCCCACTGCTTACACCCCTCCACTGGGAGAACTGCCCATTTATACTCACTCTCTGTTTTCTATTAATTAGCCAGTTTTTGATCCATAAAAGGACTTGTCCTTTTATCCCATGATTTTTGAGCTTACTTAGGAGCCTTTGATGAGGAACTTTATCAAAAGCTTTCTGGAAGTCAAGGTAAACAATATCTATTGGATCCCCCTTGTCCACATGTTTGTTCACCCCCTCAAAGAACATTAACAGGTTAGTGAGACAAGATCTTCCCTTACAGAACCCATGTTGAGTCTGCCTCAATAGGTTTTGTTCATCTATGTGCCTACTAATTCTTTCCTTAATAATGGTTTCCACCAATTTACCTGGTATCGACGTCAGACTGACTGGCCTGTAATTTCCCGGATCTCCTCTGGAACCCTTTTTAAAGATGGGAGTGACATTAGCTACCTTCCAGTC